GCAATGTCCAGTGCTACCACACAGCTGACTTTGGATTCATCAGTGACTGGTGTCACTTAGTGGAGAGGTTTAACAACAGATCAGCAGCAGAGTAACCTTTCTGAAGCCATATTGACGATCACAAAGTAGTGAGTGGTAGTCAAAAAACTGTCATTTGTCTTGAGATTATTGTCTCAAGGATCTTACCAGTGATTGACAGGAATGACACTGGTCTGTAGTTGCTGATTTCTGCTCTGCTCTTCTTTTTGTGAACAGGGACTACATTTGCCTCTTTTCATAGAGAGGGCCATTTACACTGTACTAGGCAGTGCTGAAAGATGCGAGTTAGAGGTGCTGCTAGCTGGTATGCACATCTCAGCAATCTTGGGCTCAACTTGTCTGGGCCTTCCCTGTTATACCTTCCTGGTCTTCAAGCTTTTGCGCTAATCTCTTGTGTGGAACTGTGTGAACCGTCTTCTTACAGTCCAAGAAAACGCAATCTACCCACCTCTCTCTCTCTTGTCTTACTGCTGTCACCCTGTCATAGAACTCCAGTAGGCTTGTGACACAGGATTTCCCGTCCCTGAAACCGTGCTGGCTGTTAAGCTCATTCCTTTCTACGTGCTCCACTCTTCTCTTGTGTGTGTGTGTGTGTGTGTGTGTGTGTGTGTGTGTGTGTGTGTGTGTGTGTGGCGCGCGTGTGTGTGTGCGTGTGTGTGTGCGTGTGTGTGTGCGTGTGTGCGTGTGTGTGCGTGTGTGTGTGCGTGAGTGTGCGTGAGTGCGTGTGTGTGTGCGTGAGTGTGCGTGAGTGCGTGCGTGCGCGTGCGTGCGTGCGCGCGTGCGCGCTCACATTTACTCACCCTTTTGTCGTTGCAGGAGTCGATTCACAGCTCCTGGCCCCGCTTCTTTGCTGTGTGTACTCCCCTATTTTTGGTTGTTGCGGAGGGCGAGTCACTTTTGTCTGCTTCTATTTGCCTCTTTCTACATTTATTTTCTCCTAGCCTCGTGGGTTCCATCATTCTTTAAACTATGTAGTATAGAGCTTGCCTCCGCTACATTTTCGCTAGGTCATTCCACTTTCTGACCACCCTGAGGGTGAGAACTTTCTGACATCCCTATGACTCATCGGTCTTTAAATTCTGTGACCTCGTGTACTTTTTCCCGCCTCAGTAGCAGTCTCTTCCTGTCCACCTTATCAAGTCATTTGAGTGTTTTGTATGTTATTATCATATCTCCCAAGGTGGTTCTATCCACTATCATCAGGTTCAGTTTCTTTAGCTTCTCTTCACAGCTCAGTTCCTTAAGGTCTGGGACTAGTCTCGTTGAATGTATTTCTCCACTTTCTTAACATGCTTTATTACGTGAGGGTTCCATGCTGGTGCTGCATATCCCTGACACATGTCATATACAGGACTATGAATGTTTTTTGTTGAGATTTTTGGAAGTCAAACGAAAATTCACTAACAATTATTCTGTTGTGTAACTTTGGCGACATGCTTGGCACTATGCTCACCTCAAGGTCTTTCTCCATGAGTGAGGTTTGCAGCTTCTGTCCCGTCCATAGTCGATATTCTGTCTCCATTCTTCTTATCCCTTTCCTAATTTTCAGAACCTTGAATTTCAGTAGTCACTTGTTTGACCAATCCTCTAGTGTATCCAAGTCTATTCATAGTCTTTCCTTATCCTCATTGTTTTTTTTTTTATCAATTTTACATAATTACAAACGGGAATACATTATCTTTTCTGATATGTTATTCGCGTATACTAGACAGCACTTGTAGTAATACCGATCCTTGTGGAACTCAACTTGTTACTCTTTCACTTTCCCATTCTGACATTTCTCGAGCAATCACTGTCTTCTTCTCATAAAATACTCTGATTTACTGTAGCGTATTTCCCGTTATTCCTGCCTGCTTCTCAAGCGGTTCCAGTCTTTTGTGAGGAATATCATATGCCTTCTTACCAGCAGGATTGTGTGTGTGTGTGTGTGTGAAATAGAGAATATAATGGAGCATTATGAGTAGGGACAGCCATAAGCGAACCCTCAATGAGTGTGACAAAATCACTTTCTCCGCTTTGCTGCTGTTGTGGAAAGGCTAGTGAGGCTGTGATGTTGACTCGTAGGGGTATGAGAGAGAGAGATGGGGAAAGGATAGAGGGGGAGAAGGAGGGAAGAGCTGGATGTAGAAAGGGAGAGAAAGATAGCGGGGAAAAGACTAAAGAAAACGGTAAAGGGAAGGGACGTAGTGGGAGTGATAAGGAATGTGGGCGCTATTAGTCATTCTTAATTTTAACTTTCGATGGTTGATACTGTACGACAGCAGAAAAACTTTTCAACATTCGTGTTTCACCAAACATTATATTTAAGGTTGTGTGTGTTGCGATGAGGCAGCAATATTGAGTTCGCTCCCTCCCAGACCCTCAGACCCTTCTCCCATGTTTATCCCACATCCCAGCTCACCGTATATGTAGTTAGATATGCCGTATTATGATATCCTTATTCTTCCTCTTTCTTACGTATAAATTATCTTGCCTCACTTTATGATGACGGAGATATCTTCAAAACCTTCAATTTCTATTTCTACTGTGTATGGGATAGGCTATCCTTATAGTTGGCAATGCCTAAGTGATAGTAACTCCAGATATGCTGGAACGAAACCTCTCTGAAGCTCCCGTAGCAGATGAACCCTTGCTGGAAATACTTGACGATATGCTTCCCCCATTGCCCTACTGAATTCTGGCAGCATCAGGCTGATAGATTTCAGCACTTTGTATGACCCCCCCCCCCCATCCTGCGTGATGGAATGTGACAGAGAAACCTAGTTGCTTTTTGTTCCCACTGTGACTATCGTATAGAATAGGGTGGCAGCAGAACACTGATGTATCCATTTTTTTTAATAAAAAAGCCCTCTCCCTCAATTGGTTATTAAATTTTTATTTAGGATTTGGGTATACAACATACAAATTATTTAATGTTGAGACATGCAGATGTTATGGGCACAAAAAAAAATTATAAATTTAAGATAGCCCAAAAAAAGTTTATTAACAAAGCAACTTTTTCCATTGTGGATTACAGCCTATCTCACCACTACATCGGTGCCTCTTTCTATCCAGGGTAAATTTTGCTTTAATCTTTTGCAAAATGTAATGAATTCATACTGTGAAAATGAAGACTTAATCCACTATCTGGATATTATATCCAGCAGGCTTTAGCAGCTTTTTCATGGATAAATAGAAAGCTGCCAGGCGTACTTCATATATTTAGAGCAGACATGTCTGACACTGTCACTTTATCTCTAACTTGTATATCAGAAACGGGTTTATAAAGACACCGCATTAAATACTAAAACATATTTATTAGAAAACGTTTCGGTTCTGATATCCTGATGATCCCAGGACCAAAACGTTTCCTAAATTATTATAATAAAAAAGAAGAGAACGTTTCCTAAAAAATATGTTCTAGTGTTCGTTCAAGTATATTTTAAACTAATTGTCGGATCAGTTGTTTGCTTAATAACTTCATTAAGCACCTCATACCCATCTTGTGGAGGGGAAGTCAGAAGAATCAAGGCACATAATGGGTCCAGGGACTAGGTAAAGTGGTAATGGACTATTACAAGTTTATGATCTGGTTACAATCGTAATGTTAATATAGACATGACTTCAGTAACAAAAACATTAGTGTAGGTTTGGAGTATGTATTTATATTTTAACGGAGTATGATTGAATTTAGGCAAACTTTTATGAATTATTTACAATAGGCAGTTACTGTATTTTTTTCCAGAATGACTGATAATATACCGCTGTGGATAAAATACTTTGACATTTCTTGGACATTTGTGAGTTTTCTCTGAATTTTTTTTTTCCATTCCGTCACATGATGCAAGATGTGAACATTAATTCATCGCGCAAAGTTTACATTTAGTTATATGTACATTAGCTGGTGGGGCGTACTCTCAGAAATACTTGTAGCCCCAGCCAAAGCCGAGCAGTAATGACATCCAAGCATCTGCTGATTTTATTGGATTCACCACAGACATGTGGCTCCGGTTGCGTGTTAGCATGACTTTATTTTAGTATGATACATGTATGTACAAAGGAGTGTAACAATCTGGTGAACATGCCAAAAGCCCCTTTATATGCAGAACATTTCGGGCAAATTTAAGATTAATAAGGCAATAACAGTTCTGTAATTATACATATGGTCATAGGTGAATTACATTGATACAAGAAAACTGAATGTTCAGCTAGTTCACGCTATATGCTTTAATAAGTTTGGTAGAGAAGAATTACAGTTTTGATACAGTATATAAAATATACAGTATGACAATTTGGCACAATTTAAAACAATGAAGTTGAAACAATTTTAAGGTTGAAGTAATGATTAAATAGTTGAGCAGTCATCAAGCACAATTTGCAATATGAAGAATTACAGTTTAGCAGAAATTAAAACAATGAATTGAAATGATAGATGAATGAATGATAGATGGACTGACTGGTGTCAGTCTCCCTCAGTTGTATTATTTTTTTTTTTTATTCGCCGGTACTCTCCCGGCCCGGGTCTTTTCCAATAGTGGCGACCCGGCCTTGGCTCCCTGTCTGGAGAGTATCTCGAGACCTATGTCTCCCATGGGAGGAGGTACAAGTACCCACTCATCTTTGGGACCAACTGTCCCCTGGACTAGCCACAGTCCCTGCCCTCACGGGGCTCGTAGGCAGAAGCTAGGCTTCTGGCCCGCCATCTGCTCCACCCCAAAGGGGCTCGTCGGGACGGCAGTCTTGTATATTATTGTCAACTTTTTTTTTTTTATCAAAAATTGATTTACAGCTCAGCAGGGCTGTTCTCGGGAACCTGGGAAATACACTCAAATAACCAGTGTTTCACTGGTCTCCGTTTTAAGTTTGACAGCAGGAGTGTCCTTCAGAGGGAATCACTCAGTAAGTTCTTAAACTCTTTAGATTCGCTGCAGTATGATTAACTCTGTCTTGCCATTCACGGTTGGTTTACCCCTTTGCCTTAGGACACAGTCGACCAGACGGACGAGAGGACCTTAGTAAGAACTCGACGGGGTCGCCCAAGATCCGCAAGAAGAAAAAAGAAGCGGCAGCCTCGCACTGTCATCAATCCCTACGGCAACGTGTACTTTTACTGGTTGTGTGTGCTCACCATCTGCGTCCTCTATAACCTGTGGACGCCCATCGTCAGGCAAGCTTTTCCTGAGCTCCAACGGTCACCCCCAGCCCCTCTGGTCAGTACTAGCTCACACACATACTGCTGTTCTCTTTGACGTGAGGAAGGGGACCCTTGATGCAGGTGAAGGGCTCTTAATCCAAGGAATTGAACTTACCATTACCTTCCTAGGATCAGGCCTAATTGCCTCCTATTCCCACGTCTGTATGATCCTGTAAATATAATGACAATGACAAAGTTTATTTCCCTGTAAAGCTTACAGTGTATGCCTAGGCATTTCGGGCAGACAAATACTAATTCTTACTCTATATTGATATAGGTTATGGAGCAGTACATTTTGAACATACATTATTAGATACATAATAATTAGATTTATAATAGTCTAATTCTTGCTGCTTCCCAACTAATCTAAGGCTGAAGAAGTGCTTTCTATATCCCTATGACTTGCTTTTCCTGACTTCCAGTTATTGCTGTCTTGTCTTTAATCCCCTACCTTCCAAACATGCTGTCCCCTGTCTGCCCGACCTTTATGTACGTTGTTATATATATATAGTATTATGTTTTCCTTCTTCTAAGACTGGAGTGAGTCCCGTGTATTTAACTCACCTATATGTGGTTGCAGGGTCATTCACAGCCCTGACCCTGCCTCTTCGCTAGCCGTACTAGGGCCATTCTCTCCCGTCTCCTACAGCCATATCCCTTTTTTTTATTAAATTGGGCCCCCCTCATTCCAGTTTTCCACCCTCCTTGCAACCCTTACGGGGTTTTTTCCCCCCCCCTTTCACCTAAATTTGTTTTCTTTCATTAAATTTTTAAATTTTGAAATATTTTTTCTCATTTTCCCCAATTCTGCGTTTTTCCCCGTTTTTCCTGCCTGCTTCTCAAGGGGTTTCCCAGCCCTTTGTGGGGAAAATTTCATATGCCTTTTTAAACCAGCAGGATTGTGTGTGTGTGTGGGTTTTGAAATGGGAAAAATATAATGGAGCTTTTGAGTGGGGGGACAGCCAAAAAGCAAACCCTCAATGAGTGTGACAAAATCACTTTTTTTCCAGCTTTGCTGTGTTGTGGAAAGGTTTAGTGAGGCGTTTTGTTAAACTCGTAGGGGTATGAAAAGGAGAGAGAGGGGGAAAAGGATAGAGGGGGAGAAGGAGGAAGGGGCGATTAAAAAGGGAGAGAAAAAATAGGGGGGGAAAAGCTAAAGAAAAACGGTGGGGGGAAAAGGGACGTAGTGGGAGTGAAAAGGGAATGGGGGCGTTTATTATTTCATTCTTAATTTTAATTTTCGAGGTTTGATACTGTACGACAGCAGAAAAACTTTTCAACATTCTTTTTAAACCAAACTTTAAATTTTTAAGGTTGTGTGTGTTGCGATGAGGCAGCAATATTGAGTTCCCCTCCCCCCCAGCCCCCCAGACCCTTCTCCCATGTTTTTTTCCCCCCCCCCAGTAAACCGTATATGTATTTGTATCCCCTTTTTATGTTTATCCTTATTTTTCCCTCTTTTTACGTAAAAATTTATTTTGGCCTCATTTTAAAAGATGAGGGAGATATCTTAAAAACCCTTTAAATTTTCCCTATTTCTACTGTGTATGGGATGGGCAAATCCTTATAGTTGGCAACCCTTTTTTGATAGTAACTCCGGGCTATGCGGAAACGAAACCTTTTCAACCCCCGTAGAAAAGATAAACCCCCTTTGCTGGAATATTAAACATATGTTCCCCATTCCCCTACTAAATTTCCCCTGGCACCCTCAGGTAGATTTCACCCACTTTGTATGCCCCCCCCCCCCCCATCCTGCGTGAGGGAAAGGGGGACAGAGAAACCTATTTGCTTTTTGTTCCCACTGTGACTTTCGAAAAGAATAGGGTGGCAGAAGAACACTGTTGAAACCTTTTTTTTTTAATAAAAAAGCCCTCCCTAAATTGGTTTTTTAAAATTTTTTATTTGGGTTTGGGAATACAAATACAAATTATTTAATGTTGAGAGCACCCCCCCCCAAGATGGTTTTGGGAAACCAAAAAAAAATTTAAATTTTAAAGAAGCCAAAAAAAGTTTTTTTAACAAAAAACCTTTTTCCCTTGTGGATTAAACCTATTTTCCCCAAAATAAATGGGTTGCCTCTTTCACCAGGGAAAATTTTTGCTTTTTTTTTTTTTGGCCAAAAATGTAAAGAATTCAATGGGGAAAATGAAGACTTAAAGCTTCTGGAAAAATTATCCAGCGGGTTTTTAGAGCTTTTTCATGGAAAAAATGGGAAAGCTCCCAGGGACTTCAAAATTTTAGAGCAGACATGTCTGACCCGCCCTTTTTATCTCTAACTTGTATATCAAAAAAGGGTTTTTTAATAAAGACCGTTTTTAAAAATACAAAAACCCATATTTATTAGAAAAATTTTGGGTTTTGTTTCCCCTGATGATCCCGGGCCCAAAAACTTTTCCCAAAAATTTTTTTATAATAAAAAAGAAAAAACTTTTTCCCTAAAAAATATGTTCTAGTTTTCGTTCAATTATATTTTTAAACAATTGTGGGATCATTGTTTGCTTAATAACTTCTTAAGCACCTCTTTCCCCAATTTTTGTGGGGGGAAGTCAAAAAATCAAGGCACATAATGGGTCCAGGGATAGGTAAAGGGGTTTAATGGACTATTCAAGTTTATAAATAGGTTAAAATGTAATTTTAAAATTTTAAAACATACTTCATAACAAAAACATTAGGTAGGTTTGGAGTATGTATTTATATTTTAACGGGTAAAAATTGAATTTGGGAAAATTTTTTATAAATTATTTAAAATAGGCAGTTACTGTATTTTTTTCCAAATACTGATAATATACCGTGTGGATAAAATACTTTGCATTTCTTGGACTTTTTGTGATTTTTCTCAAATTTTTTTTTTCCTTTTCCGTCACATGATTGCAAGATGTGAACTTTAAAATTCAAGGGGCAAAGTTTACATTTTTTAAATTTGTACATTACTGGTGGGGCGTACTCTCGAAATATTGAAAGCCCCGGCCAAACCCGAGCAGAAAAAGACATCCAAGCATCTGCTGTTTTTAAAGGGATTCCCCACAGACTTTGGGGCCCCGGGTTGGGTTAGCATGACTTTATTTTAGTATAAATTACTTTGTATGAAAAAAAGGGTGTAAAAAACGGGGTGAACATGCCAAAAGCCCCTTATATGCAGAACATTTCGGGAAAATTTAAAAGATTAAAAAAGGGAAATTTAAAAAGTTCGGGGTATTAAAACTTAGGTCTTTGGGTGAATTACTTGAATACAAAAAAACCCTAAATTGTTCAGCTAGTTCACGCTATTTTGTTTTAAAATAAGTTTGGTAGAGAAGAATTACGGGTTTTGATACGTTTATAAAATATACAGTATGACAATTTGGCACAATTTAAAAAAATGAAGTTGAAAAAATTTTTAAAGGGTTGAAGAAATTTAAAAATTTGTTGGGGCCAATCATCAAGCCCCAATTTGCAATATGAAGAATTACATTTAGCAGAAATTAAAAAAAAAATTTAAATGATAAAATGAATGAATGAAAAGAGGGAAATGACGGTGTCAGCCCTCCCTCAGTTGTATTTTTTTTTTTTTTTAAAATTCCCCCGGGTTATCTCCCGGGCCCCGGGCCCTTTTCCCCAATAGTGGCGACCCGGGCCTTGGCTCCCTTTTGGGAAAGGTATCTCAGCCCATGTCTCCCTTTGGGGGATTTTCAAGTACCCACTCATCTTTGGGAAAAACTGTCCCCCGGATTTACCCCAATTTCCCTGCCCTCACGGGGCCGAAGGCAAAAGGGCTAGGCTTCGGGCCCCCCCTTCTGCTCCTCCCCCAAAGGGGCTCGGGGGGGAAACGGCAGTCTTGTATTTATTGTAAATTTTTTTTTTTTTTAAATAAAAAAATTGGGTTTTTCAGCCGGGCAGGGCAGTTCTGGGAACCTCGGGAAATACACTCAAAAAACCAGGTTTTCATTTGGCCCTCCTTTTTAATTTTTGGCCCGGGAAGGTTTTGTCCTTCAGAGGGAATCACTCAGTAAGTTTTTAAAACTCTTTAATTCGCTGCAGTAGATTAAACTCTGTTTTTTGCCATTCAGGGTTGGGTTTTACCCCTTTCCCCTTGGGCACGTCGACCAAGGGACGGGAGGACCTTAAAAAAACCCGGGGCCCCGGGGCCCCAAGCCCGCAAGAAGAAAAAGAAGGGGCGCCTCGCACTGTCATCAATCCCTACGCAACGGGGTTCTTTTTTGGTTGTGTGTGTCACCACCTGCGTCCTTTTTAAAAACCTGGGGGAGGGGCCCAAATGGTCGGAAAGCTTTTCCTGGCCCAAACGGAAACCCCACCCCTTGGTCAAACTACTCACCCCACATATGTGTTCTTTTTGGGAACGTGGGGGAAGGGGGACCCTTAAAGCAGGTGAAGGGCTCTTAATCCAAGGAATTGAACTTACCATTACCTTCCTAGGCAGGCCAAATTGCCCCCTTTTCCCCACGCCCTTGTATGACCCTTTAAATATAATGACAATGAAAAAAGTTTTTTTCCCTGTAAACTTAATGTTTCCCTAGGCATTTGGGCAAAAAATTTTTTAAAAATTTCTTATCTATATTGTTATAGGTTATGGGGGCGTACTTTTTTGAACTTTCATTATTAGTTACATAAAAAAATTAGATTTAAAATTTAGTCTAATTTTTTGCGGTTTCCCCCAACTAATCAAAGGGTAAAGAATGTTTTCCTAATATCCCTATACTTGCTTGCTTCCAGTTTGTGTCTTTTCTTTAACCCCCTACCCCCCAAAAAAATGCTTCCCTGCCCTCCCCGCCCTTTATGTACGTTTTTTTTTTTAGTTATATTTTATTTATTATTTTTTAAAAAAAAAAGAAGCGCTAAGCCACAAGGGGCCCTATACAGCGTGTAAAAAATATATGCTTCAAGGGTTTTCCCTTTTTTTCAAGACTGGCAGGTGAGGCCCCTTGTATTTCTCACCTTTATGTGGTTGCGGGGTCGTTTCACAGCTCCTGACCCTCCCTCTTCCCCTAGCCGCTACTAGGGCATTTTTCT